CCCCTCCAAATAAGTCCTCTTTAATATTTCTTGCAGGGCTCATTTAGTGGTCGTGAACTCCTTTAGTTTTTGTTTTTCTGGCAAATTCTTTCTCTCTCCTATTCTGAATGATAGCTTTGCTGCATAGGGTATTCTGGGCTGCAGATTTTTCCCATTCAGCACATTGAATATATCTTGCCAGTCCCTTTTGGCTTCCCAAGTTTCTGTGGAGAGATAGCTGCTATCCTTATTTGTTTTCCCTTGTAAGTTAGGGACTTCCTTTCTCTTGCTGCTTTTAGGATTTTTTTATCATTGTATTTTATAAACTTAAATACAATATGTCTTGGTGTTAGCCTACTTTTGTTGATTTTGATGGGAATTCTCTGTACATCCTGGATTTGGATGTCTGTTTCCTTACCCAGCTTAGGGAAGTTTTCAGCTATTATTTTTTCCCATAAATTCTGTTTCTTTTTCTCTCTCTTTTTCTGGGACTCCTATGATATGAATGTTATTTTGTTTGATGGAGTCACTGAGTTCCCTAAGTCTGCTTTCATGATCCATTATTCTTCCTCTATTGTGTACAGCTTCATTATTTTAAACAATTTTATCTTCTAGGGGCACCTGGGTGGCTCAGTGGGTTAAAGCCTCTGCCTTCAGCTCGGGTCATGATCCCAGGATCCTGGGATCGAGCCCCACATCGGGCTCTCTGCTCAGCGGGAAGCCTGCTTCCCTCTCTCTCTCTGCCTGCCTCTCTGTCTACTTGTGATCTCTGTCAAATAAACAGATAAAACCTTTAAACAAAATAATTTTATCTTCTAGGTAAATTATTCATTCCTTAGTTTCTTTCATTTTTGTGGTCATTACATTCACTTGATTTCAAATCTCACATTGTCGGGTTTTTTTTTTAAGATTTTGTTTATTTGACAGACACAGCAAGAGAGGGAACACAAGCAGGGGGAGTGGGAGAGGGAGAATCAGGCTTCCTGCTAAACAGGGAGCCTAATGTGAGACTCAATCCCAAGACTCTGGGATCATGACCTGAGCCGAAGGCAGACGCTCAATGACTGAGCCACCCAGGTGCCCCCAGCCTAATTTTAGCTCTTTTATATCTGTGGTATCTCCCTGATGTCTTCCATGCTTTTCTCAAGCCCAACATATCCTTATGATTGTTGTTTTAAATTCAGCATTAAGCATATTACTTGTATATGTTTCAATTAGATCCCTTACCATGACCTTTTCCTGTTCTTTCTTTTGGGGTGAATTTCCCTGTGTTGGCATTTTGTCTAGGTGTCTTCTTCTGTGTATTAGGAAAGCCTCTTATGTTTCCTGCTTCTGAGAGTAATGGCTTTATGAAGAGTCATATAATGTTTAGGGGCTGGTGTTTCAGGAATTGTCTCTGGTATGTGCTGCATGCACCGACTGTTGTGTTTTGGCTGCTCTGTCCCTCAGTTCAGTCACTCGCGGAGGCTCTCCTTGCCTGCGGTGGGGCAGTTTGGACCTTGGCCAGAGTTGGGTGAGATTCAACTAGGTGTGCTCTGGTCTGCTTGTTAAATGAGACCTGATGCTATTTCCATGAGAACTGGAGCTTTGCAGGAACTATTGTCAGTAGACATAGTGTGTGCATTGGGTGGGGGCCTTATGCTGGTCTTTGGGGAGAGGGGCCCGCTGTGCTGTCCTTAGCTGCACTTGTCAGAAAAGCCGTACCTGCAGAGCGCAGGGAGGCAGGACTTGGTGTAAGCAGATTAAGTCCGTGTTGGTGCTGTGCCATTTACTGAAGCTGGTCTATGCTGAGGGGCAGAGTAGGAAAATGGCACCATGCAGTTCCTTTGTCCCAAGAGGGGAGTCCGTGCTTGTGCTCTAAGGAAGCCCTCAAAGAAGAGCAAAAAAATTCCCCCCATGTATCCTAGGTGTTTTTCAGATTGCTGTTTTTTTGTTTGTTTTTAGATTTTATTCATTTATTTGACAGAGATCACAAGCAGGCAGAGAGGCAGGCAGAGAGAAAGGAAGGGAAGCCGTTTCCCCTCCGAGCAGAGAGCCCAACCCAGGGCTCGATCCCAGGACCCCAGGATCATGACCTGAGCCGAAGGCAGAGGCTTTAACCCACTGAGCCACCCAGCTGCCCCAGATTGCTCTTTTCAAACGGTGTCCATGTTGATTGTCTGCATGAAGTAGTGCAACATATTGTGGGCTCTACAACAGCTGAGTTGTCTGATTTTTAAAACTCCAAACTTCAGGGACCTGGTGTGGAGGGGATCTGTGGTGGTCCTCTAGGAAAGAATCTCACTATGGGGCACCTGGGTGGCTCAGTGGGTTAAGCCTCTGCTTTTGGCTCAGGTCATGATCTCGGGGTCCTGGGATCGAGCCCCACATCAGGCTCTCTGCTTGGCGGGGAGCCTGCTTCCTCCTCTCTCTCTCTGCCTGCCTCTCTGCCTACTTATGATCTCTCTCTGTCAAATAAAGAAATAAAAAATCTTAAAAAAAAAAATCTCACTGTGCTGGGATTGATGCTGGTGTGATCCAGAAGGACAGTCATACCAGATCACAGGGGTGTGGGATTATGAGCAAGCAGGCTAAACAACCAGTTTCCAGCTTAGGGGCTCTCAGCGGGTGTCTCTGCTTCCATGCTAAGGGGCAGGGGAGGAAATTGCACCTGCAGGCTCTTTTGTCCCTTGAGAAGCAACTCTGAGAACATCACCTCTCACAGAAGCACTTCAAGAAGAGTGAACAGGGGCACCTGGGTGACTCAGTGGGTTAAGCCTCTGCCTTTGGCTCAGGTCATGATCTCAGGGTCCTGGGATCAAGTCCCGCATCCAGCCTTCAGGAGCCTGCTTCCTTCTCTCTCTCTCTCTCTCTCTGCCTGCCTCTCTGCCTACTTGTGATCTCTCTCTGTCAAATAAATAAATTCTTAAAAAAAAAAAAAAAGAAGAGTGAACAGTCTCTCCCTGTGCCCATTAGATGATCTTCAGATCACACTATCTCCCCTGGCATGTTTGCATGCCTTCATTGCGGGAGTAGGGCAGTGCTCTTAGGGCTCTATCCCAGTCAAGCCTGCCAACTTCTTTAACTCCAGTATTTGAGCTGCGCTGGTTACAAAAACTCGGGAAAATCAGCCTGTCTCATTTTCCCAGCCACTAGCTTTAGGAAAGTTGTTCTCCTTTTGCATTCCCATGTGCTCCCGTCTCACCTTTCTCTGCAACCATGGCTCCCTTCCCTCTGTAGCACCTGCCATCTGTTTCCCCCAAACTATAGCTTCACATGTCCTACCTTCCTCAGTGTGGCCTCTTTTCTCCTTGTACTTGTGCACCTGTTCTGTCAGCCCGCAGACTGATTTCTTGGGTATTCAGAATGATTTGATACTGTCCAGTTGTGCTCTAGGGATGAGCCAGACTGGAATCCTCCTACTATGTTGTCATCGAAGCTCTCCGCCTCAATTGCTATCAGTTTCAAGATTTTTCTTAGTGTTTTCTTATATTGTGCTTTTCCTGGAAAAAAAAAATCTCAGATTTTGTTACCTGGGAATGTGTCATTTTGCCTTCACTTTCAAAAGTAGCTTTTGGGATGTAGATTCTTTATTGGCAGCTGCTCATGCTCTCAGCCTTCCGAATACATTGCCCCGTTACCCCTGCCCTCTGCTGTCTCCGCGGAGAATCCGCTCTTGTCTTATTGTGGTTGCCTTTCAGGTGACAGGTTTTCCTCTTGCTGCTTTCAGTATTTCTCATCTCTGGCCTCCACAATTTTCACTACCATGTATCTGTTCTTGGACCTCTTTGTGGTTTTATTCTTTGAGGTCCATTGAGCATCTGGACGTGTAGCCGATTTTCAACAAATTTAGGATGTTTTTATTCATGATCTCTTGAGTATTTGTTGTGTTCCCTCCTCTCCCAATCCCATACTGCCAGCACATGTGTGTTGGTGCACCGGACAGTACCCTACATTTCTTCTGTTTTCATTTTTGTTCTCTCTCCTTCAGGTTGCGTAACCAGTCTGTCTTCGTGTTTCCTGGTTCTGTATCTTGGCAGTTTCAACCTGCTGCTCGCCCCTGCAGTGAATTACTTTCTATCCGAGGGAGTTGGTGGTGCTCAGTATGAGGGATCTCCCAGACCAGCCTCGGATATGAGGACTCACTACAAGGGCTCACAGAAATGTTTATTCCACAGACAGATTTATTTCAGAAAAACTGTCACACACAGTGCTCCGTTTACTATGAGGAAAGGGTCTGTATTAAAGTTAGTGAATAGAAAAGGAACATGAAGCAGAATCCAGGAGAAACCAGGATCAAGCTCCAAGTCATCTCCTCTTGATGCAGTTGTACAGACAGAGCTTAATGTGTAATTTCTTTTTATTTTTAAAGATTTTGTTTATTTATTTGACAGACAGAGATCACAAGTAGGCAGAGAGGCAGGCAGAGAGAGAGGAGGAAGCAGGCTCCCTGCTGAGCAGAGAGCTTGATGCGGGGCTCGATCCCAGGACCCTGGGATCTCGACCTGAGCCGAAGGCAGAGGCTTAACCCTCTGAGCCACCCAGGCGCCCCTGAATGTGTAATTTCTATAAAATACTTCTAGCCAGGGGAGCTCACCCAGGTCTCGGACTCTGGGGTTTTACTGAGGGTTAGTCATGGGCCCTCCTGTGTGAGTGGTCTTGGCTTCTCAGCATCCAGCTCCTCTGGAAGTCTGATACTGTATGTCTCATGGCTCAAGGCGATATATATATACACAGACACTTGTCAGTGCATGTGTTCTGAGAGCTTGCAGATTTCCTCCCAGGAGCGGGTCAAGGGCTAGTCTTAAAGAATATTCAGGGTTTGGACAACTGAGGTCTGTTACCCTTTCACTGCAGACTTTCCAACAGAAGTATTTACTTAATGTGCATGGCATATCTCCCTGGGCTCTGGTGATAGAAAGGAGTAAGATGAGAGCGGTCGTGATAAATGTTGTGTTAGGTTGACTCCTTAGTGGTGCAGGTAAGCCTGTTGGAGTCTGAGCACATATTGTGGGGTGGATTTGAACTTCCTATGAACTGATTTTAGTGTCCCGGCGCTTTCGGACTCACCTTCCTCCTGCACGCATTTGTATGTTTCAGGACTTGGTGATCTTTGAGGATGTGGCTGTGGACTTCACCCTGGAGGAGTGGGCTTTGCTGGATTCTATGCAGAAGAACCTCTACAGAGATGTGATGCTGGAAACTTTCCAGAATCTGGTCTCAGTGGGTAAGAACGGCAGCAGGCCCTCACTTAGTCATTTAGTAAACAAGTATCTCTTGTCGGTGCTTTCCCACAATTTGAAATGTGGAAAAGGAATGCACTGGAAAGTAAAACAGACATGGTCACAGCCATCTCGGACCTGCAACACAGTAATGTCTCCATGACAGTGGGAATGTGTGCATTAAACTGAGGTTTTATTTTTGTCTTGGTTCAGACTTGAAGCTTCCTTGGCTTATTGGTAGTGGGGGGCTGGCTTCATCTGTTGTTTTGGTTCACAGAGAAGTTTCTTGGAAAACTTGATAGTTAGTAAATTGCCCGCCCTTCTGCCCCCCACCCCGCCTGCTGCTGTGAAGTGCTGAAAGCACTGAAGTCCTCAGAGTCTTTCTTTCCTTATAAGTTCCTTCCTCCTTTAATACGTTCATTCACCTTTTTGTTTCAGATTATGAAACACTGTTTAAAGCCAGTGGTTTCTCAACAGGATGCGCTTGAGAAAAAAAATCTATTGAACAGAAGATGGCAAAATTCACAAGAAATCATTCTTGTGCCTACATTTTAGAAAAAAATTGGGACGATGACTGCAGTAAAGATCAACATGGAAAGCATGCAAGACATCAGAGGTGAGTTGTGTTCATAAGGTAAAGCGGTATTAATCCTAGGACAGGGTTTTGGTATGTCATGAAATTTAAAAAACTAAGAACCAAGCTCCAAATCTATTTTTGGAGAGAGAGGACAAGTGGAGTGGGAGAGGGACAGAGGGAGAGGACGAAGCATGACACAGGGCTTGATCCCAGGACCCTGAGATCATGACCTGAGCTGACAGCAGACGGTTAATTGAGCCAACCAGGTGCCCCCAAATCTATTTCAAATTCTAGGAAGGTTTTTAAAAACTTGACCGAGACATCAAGTGTTTGAAGCATAATTCAGTTAGACACTCTTTTAGGAAGACCCCATACATGATAAACAGTATGAACAGTGAACATGATAGAGGTCGCTTCTAGGGCATTTAGTTAACTTTAAGATGATCTGGAGACGGTAGAAAAACTTCTGGATACTAAAATGCAGTTAGCCATCTGGTTCTAATACTTACTAGTTGCTAATAACAAATCATTAATAAACATAATATTGATAAAGTGTTTCTGACTTTTAACAGAAATCCTGCAACAGACAGATTCTGTGAAAGTAAAGAAAGAAAGAAAACACAGAGAAGCTTGCAGCCAGCTTCCTCATTTTAATTTCTTTTTTTTTTTTTTTTTTTTTTTTTTTTAAGATTTTATTTATTTATTTGACAGAGAGAGAGATCACAAGTAGTCAGAGAGTCCGACAGAGAGAGAGAGAGAGAAGCAGGCTCCCTGCTGAGCAAAGAGCCCGATGCGGGGCTCGATCCCAGGACACTGAGATCATGACCTGAGCCGAAGGCAGCGGCTTAATCCACTGAGCCACCCAGGCGCCCCTCCTCATTTTAATTTCTGCAAGAATATTTCCACTGGAGTAAAACTCTATGAATGCACCAAGTGTGGGAAAGGCTTCATGCATCTTTCTTCCCTTAAAAGGCACGTCAGAGGGGCACCTGGGTGGCTCAGTGGGTTAAAGCCTCTGCCTTCGGCTCAGGTCATGATCTCAGGGTCCTGGGATCGAGCCCCACATCGGGCTCTCTGCTCAGCAGGGAGCCTGCTTCCTCCTCTATCTCTGCCTGCCTCTCTGCCTACTTGTGATCTCTGTCAAATAAATAAAATCTTAAAAAAAAAAAAAAAAAAAAAAGGCACGTCAGATCTCACTGTGGACAAAAACCACACCTGCATCAGGAACACCAGCAGGCTTGCATTTGTGGCACACACCTGAGAACTCACACCGGAGAGAAGCCCTACGGATGTAAGTTATGTGGGAAAACCTTTCCTTATTTCTACTCTCTCACACAGCATATCAGGATGCACACTCCGGAGAGAAACTATGAATGCAAGCAGTGTGGGAAAACCTTCCAAGAGTTCTCCAGTCTTACTAGACACATGAAAACACACACTGGGGAAAAGCCATATAAGTGTAAGGAATGTGGGAAAGCCTTCATTTATCCCTCAATCTTTCAAAGACACATGGTAACACACACAGAGGAGAGGCCCTATGAATGTAAGTTATGCAGAAAAGCCTTCCACCATTCTTACTCTCTCACTCAACATAAGAAGATTCACACTTCAGAGAAAACCTATGAACGCAGGCAGTGTGGGAAAACCTTCCATGAGTTCTCCAGTTTTACTGGGCATGTGCGAACTCACACTGGAGAAAAGCCATACAAGTGTAAGGAATGTGGGAAAGTCTTTATCCCTCCGTCTTTCAAAGGCACATGATAACACACACTGGGGAGAAGCCCTATGAGTGTAAGTTATGTGGGAAAACTTTTCAACATCCGTTCTCCCTTGCTCAACATAAAAAGAGTCACACAGCAGAAAAAACTTATGAATGCAAGCAGTGTGGCATAGCCTTCCGCGGGTTTGCCAGTCTTACTAGACACGTGAGAACCCACACTGGGGAGAAGCCACATAAGTGTAAGGAATGTGGGAAAGCCTTTATTTATCCTTCCACCTTTTGAAGACACATGATAACACACACTGCAGAGAAGCCCTATAAGTGCAGACAGTGTGGGAAAACCTTCAGTTATCCCCAGTCTTTCCAAGGACATGAAAAGACACACACTGGAGAGAAGCCCTATGAGTGTAAGGAATGTGGGAAAGTCTTCAGTTGGCCTGAAACCTTCCGAGTACATGTGAGGGTTCACACTGGGGAGAAGCTGTATAACTGTGAGTTCTGTGGGAAAGCTTTCAGTTCCCCCAAGTCCTTCCAGGGGCACATGAGAACCCACACTGGGGAGAAACCTTACGAGTGTAAACAGTGTGGAAAAGCCTTCAGTTGGCCCTCAACCTTTCGAGAACATGTAAGAAGCCACACTGAGGAGAAACTGTATAAATGTGAGAATTGTGGGAGAGCCTTCACTTCTTCCAGATCCTTCCAAGGCCATGTGTGGACTCACACTGGAGAGAAGCCTTATGAGTGTGCACAATGTGGGAAAGCCTTTAGTTGGTCCTCATCATTACAAAAGCACGTGAGGATGCACACTGGAGAGAAACCCCACAAATGTAAACAATGTGGGAACGCCTTTAAGTGGCCCTCATCCTTTCGAAACCACATGAGGATGCACACTGGGTAGCAGCCCCAGAAATGCACGTAATATTGGAAGAATCTCTGTTAGGCCATGCTTTCTAGAGAGAGATTCAGTAACTGTAAGTAATGTTGGAATATCTTGCACTAATTCATGTATTATACTCCGGGAAGGAAATATGGAAGTTGTAAACATGGTATTGTGTTTGTCATTACCTCATTTAACCCTGGACCCCGAAATAGTGAGTTTCCGGTTCTTTCACAAATAAGTGCTCATGTAAGAACTCTTAAGTCCTCCTTCAGCGAGGGTGTGGAAGTTTGAAAAGTGTTTTGTTTTTTTGCCCGATTTTTCAATTAATACCATTTTCTTTCTTGGTAGTTTATTTGTGCTACAGTAGTGTGAAGTGTGCTTTTATGTGACACAGAGTTTAATTCCTACATAATGTACTGTAGTGTGAGTGCGTGACAGTGAGCATCAGATTATAACGCAGCACCTGACAGCACTGCACTGCTGCGGCTTCTGTGTCAAAGACCTCCATGTGGACTAAACGTAGTTGGCTGTAGACTGCGGCTACCAGCAGAACCACCCAGTACAGAAGCAGGCCACCCTCCACCAGTGAAGTTCCTACTAAAGAGTCAACCTGCAAAACCCTGGGCATCCCACCCTTGACCCCAAAACAGGCAGAACACCAGGTCCGCATTCACTCTCTTACAGCCTTGCTGTGTGGCCCCAGGTGTGCTGTGTACTTCCCAGGACTTGAGAGTAATAAACCTTGTCCTTCTGGGTTCCATGATGGCTATTGCTAAGGTGCGTCTTCCAATTATAATAAGAACCACGGGGAGTGGAGGTAGGAACATACTTCACGCTTCATTTCTTGATGGTTAAAAGGTTTAGGCCACGCGGTATGCACTTATGACTAAATGGCCGTCACAGAGCAGGGCTTTCCAGTGCTTTGCACATGGGTGTGGGTGTTTGAACGTCCTGGTGGCAGAACTGCAGGCTGCACTCGTGACCAGCTCTGGGGGCAGTGGGCCACTCCACTGGCCTCTCTTGCATGCCAGCCGGGATCTTGATTGGTGGCTATGATGTTAACACTGTAAATGCTGACTTTACTACTAGGGGTCTGAGTAAATTTTCAGTGATTAGGAAAAGTGGGTTTAGCAGTCTTTGTTTATGCCCCTTGCACCAGGATGGATGGAGTAAAATGGACATAAATGTTTAATGTTTACAGTTATCATAAACAGTACTGCAGTCATCTGATACACACTGTTGTATTGCTGATTGTAATTCCCACCCAAAGCTGTTCATTTGGGGAGAGCACAGCTCAGGCACAGTGGCCTCTCCACCCACTCCTGACATCGGGCTCATGGGGTTGACGCCCTGCGGAGTTGTGCTCTGCTTCCTGGCAGCCTGAGCCACCTTCCCTCCCCTTTATCCTGGAGCAGACACTGTACTAAGGTGATGGAGACATCTCCAGAAACATCGTCATCTCTGGGCCACATCAGGACAAAATGAATGAAAGGTTGTGCAAATCTATTTTTGAAGACTTAACATTTCATCTTAAATGGGATGTGTCTGGGAAAGTGGTAGGAAAACATTTTTGTGTGGAAATGCTTTTATTCCTCTTCCATACAGCCCTCAGCCCTTGCACAGGAAAGGTCTGGATGAGAGTGGGGGCTTGTGTCTTGCTTTCCCAACGTGGGCCCACGGGCCTATTCCTCTTATCCTTCTGTGAGAAATCTTGGCAATGATTGTGACCGTGTGCTGAGTCCTGTACTTTGGGAATGCTGTGGCTACAAGACAAAAGACCAGCCAGTCTTCCCAGTGGGACCCTGTTTGGGGCATCCTTATCCTTGGGCACCAGCAGTGTGTCTCTCCAGCGCCCGTCCTGAGATCTCTCCCAGCTCTGAAGTTCCCACCTCAAGAACAGATGTGTCCTCCTCCTGAGAAGCACCACTGGAGATGCACACCTGCTTCCATTAGGGAGCAGGTCCCTAAGGCTGGAAACAGTGGCAGGATCCATGTCACAAGCCACAGCAATCCCCAGAGCCATACAGTCAGCTCAACACATGCACAATCACATACAACAGTGTCAGAACTACCAAGGATATCACAAAGGTACATCATGTGCCCAGCCACCCAATGTCCCTCAGTCACCCACTACTGGTTCTCTTGCACAGCCCAGCCTGACCACTTTCTTTGTAAAACACCAAAGAGAAACATACGTGGGGAGAACATAAAAACTACTCATTCTCCAGTTTCAACTTAAATATTCTTTGAAACATTATTATTTTCTCATTATTTTAGTATTTCAAGTATTTCAAATTGTTACCACCTTTTTCAAACTCAGGGAGACATGCATGGACGGATGTGGTAACTTTTTAACGGCACAAACCTTAACCTTATCATCAACCTTAACAGCATATGGTTCCCCTCAGCAGCAGTGCCTTTTCTTGGACAGTAACAGTAATTATCATACATTAAAGTAATCCAGCGCACGAAAAAAGGCATCCCAAGGGGAATTTAAAGGTACTTGAGAGAAATGAAAAGGAAAATAAAACTTACCAAAACATACAGAGTGTAGCAACAGCATTGCTAAGTGAGAATTTATAATCTACAGATACTTATATTAAAAAACAAGAAAAAACAAGACTTCAATTCAACAATCTGACTTCACAACCTAAGAAGTGGAGCAAGAAGAAGCAAATCAAAACCTCAGAGAAGGGAGGAAATAATAAAGATTGGAGCAGAGATAAATGAAAAGGAAAATAGAAAAATAATAGAGAAAATTAAAGAGAAAAAAATTAAAACTTGGTTCTTTCAGATCAACAAAACTGACAAACATTTAGCTAGGCAGACTAAGAAAGAGAAAACCCAAATCGTTAAAATCAGAAAGGCAGTGAAGACATCGCTACTGAGGCTACAGAAGCAGAAAGGATTACAGAATAACATGAAGAAATGTACAGCAACAAATTGGAGAACTGAGATGGAAGAGGCAGGTTCCTAGAAACACGAAACCTGCTGAGAATCAGTCATGAAGCAATAGAAAATCCAAACAGCTATACTAATAAAGAATTGAATCACTGATCAAAACCCTCCCAAAGAAAAGTCCTGAACCTGATGGCTTCACTGGTGAATTGTACCAAACAATTTAAAGAAGAATATTAATACTTACCAAAATTTTCCCAAAAAAATTGAAGAGAAAAGAACACCTCTTAAGCTATGAGACCAGCATCACCCTGATAGAAAAGCCAAGGATTCTACAAGGAAACAAAACTACACACCAGTAGCCCATATGAATTTGTGTGTAAAACTCCCCAGCAAAATACTAGCAGATAGAATTCCGCAGCAAACTGAAAGGACTGCACACCCTGATGAAGTGGGATTTACTACTGGAAAGCAAGGATGGTTCAGCATACAAAAATGAATCCATGCAATGCACATTAACAGAATGAAGGTAAAAAATCAAATTATTACCTTAAACTGATGCAGAAGCAGCACATGATGAAATCCAACACCCTTTTGTAACACTCCATCAGCTAAGAGTAGAAGGGAACGACCTCAATATTATAAAATCCATATATTAAAAACCCACAGAGAACATCACACTCCGTGGTAAGACTGAAAGCCTTTTTTCTCTCAGATCAGGAATAAGAATGACTTTCACCACTCCCATTTAACATGGTACAGAAGTTATACCCAGAGTAATTAGGCAAAGAAAATAAATAAGCATCCAGCTTGGAAAGGAATAAAAATTATATCTGTACATCTTATATACAGAAAATTCTAAAGAGTCCACTTACGCACACAAAACCATTAAAAATAAATGAGTTTAACAAAGTATCAGGATAAAAAGGTAACACACAAATTTGTTTCATTTCTTTTTTTTTTTTAAGATTTTATTTATTTATCCGACAGAGATCACAGGTAGGCAGAGAGGCAGGCAGAGAGAGAGGAGGAAGCAGGCTCCCCGCTGAGCAGAGAGCCTGATGCGGGGCTCGATCCCAGGACCCTGGGATCATGACCTGAGCCGAAGGCAGAGGCTTAACCCACTGAGCCACCCAAGCGCCCCATTTGTTTCATTTCTAAATACAATAAACAATAGGAAAAGAAAATTACAAAACCAATTCTAACTAAAATAGCATCAAAATGAATAAAATATTCAGGACTTAACCACCGAGGCAAAAAACTCATACAAGGTAAAACGACAAATCATTGCTGAAAGAAAAGATCTAATAATGGAAAGACATCATATGTTCATGGTTTAAATACAGTTGTGTGGTTTGTTTTTTTCTTTTCTTTTAGATTTTTATTTATTTGTCAGATCCTGTGAACAAGCAGGGGGAGCAACAGGCAGAGAGCGAAGAAGAAGCAGGCTTCCTGCTGAGCAGAGAGCCCGATGTGGGGCTAAATCCCAGGACCCTGGGATCATGATCTGAGCTGAAGGCAGACGCTTACCTGACTAAGCCACCCAGGTGCCCCTGGTCAACTGATTTTGGTAAGTGTGCCAGGATTATTCAGTGGGGAAAGGACAGTCTTTCGATAAATGGTGCTGGGGAAACTGGACATCCACATGGAAAAGAATGAAGTGGATCCTCACCTAATAACATAAACAGACATTACTCAAGATGGATCAAGAACCTACATGTAGGGGCGCCTGGGTGGCTCAGTGGGTTAAAGCCTCTGCCTTCAGCTCAGGTCATGGTCCCAGGGTCTTGGGATCAAGCCCCGCATGGGGCTCTCTGCTCAGCAGGGAGCCTGTCTCCCCCCCTCTCTGCCTGCCTCTCTGCCTGCTTGTGATCTCTCTCTCTGTCCAATAAATAAATAAAATCTTAAAAAAAAAAAAAAACCTACATGTAAGCCCTGCAACAATAAAACTCTTAGAAAGAAACAGAAGAAAAGCTTTGTAACACTGGATGTGGCAGTGAGTTCTTAACTATAACACCAAAGTCACAAGTAACAAAAGATAAAATAGGGGAACCTGGGTAGCTTAGACGGTTAAGCGTCTGCCTTTAGCTCAGGTCATGATCCCAGGGTCCTGAGATCGAGTCCCACATTGGGCTTCCTGCTCAGCGGGGAGCCTGCTGCTCCCCCTGCTTGTGCTCTCTGCCAAAGAAATATTTAAAAAAGAGAAAAAATAGACAAATTTGGGTTCATGAAAATTCTGTACATCTAAGACAGTATCAACATAGTAAAATGTCAACTCACAGAATGAGAGAAAATACCTGAAAAATCCACATATTTGATGAGACTAATACCCAGAATAAGAACATCTAAAATGCAACAACCCAAAAACCCAAACCTAATTCAACATTAACAAAGGACTTCAACAGACATTCTCTAGAAAATATACATACATATCCAATAAACACATTAAAAAACACATGACATCAGGGGCACCTGGGTGGCTCAATGGGTTAAAACCTCTGCCTTAGGCTCGGGTCATGACCCCAGGGTTCTGGGATGGAGCCCCACATCGGGCTGTCTGCTCAGCAGGGAGCCTGCTTCCTCCTCTCTCTCTCTCTGCCTGCCTCTCTGCCTAATTGTGATCTCTGTCAAATAAATAAATAAAATCTTTTTAAAAATGACATCATTAATCACTAGGGAAATGCAAATTAAAACTACAGTATGATACCATTTCAAACACAATGGGGTTGCTTCTAAAAGCAAACCAGAAACAAATGTTGATGAGGATGTGGAGAAACTGGAACCCTTGTACACTGTTGATAAAATGGGAAAGCCACTGTGCAAAATACTATGGTAGTTGCTGAAAAATGTAAAAAAGAATTACCATCTGATCCAGCAATTCCACTTCTGGGTATATACCCAACAGAACTAAGAGCAGAATCTTGAAGAGATGTTGGTACACTCGTGTTCATATCAGCGTTATCCACAATACCTAAAATGTGCAAGCAACTCACATGTCCACTGATGGATGAACAGATGAGCCAGATGGAGGCCATACATTTAATGGGCTATTTTTCAACCTTAAAAAGGAAGGAAATTGCAATGTGTAGTGAGACGGATGGCTCTTGAGGACATTATCCTAAATGAAATAAACCCATGAGACACAAATACCGTATGATTCTACATGTATGACTAAGAGTGTCAAAATCATACAGACATGTAGTAAAAAAGTGGAGGCTGGGGTCTGGGGGAGGGGAGGGAAGGAGAGTGGGGAGTCAGTGTTTAGTGGGAACACTTTCAGTTTTACCTGATGAAGAGTTCTGGGGAGATGGATGGTAGTGATGGTTCCAAAACAGGTGAATGTATTTAATATTTCTGAACTTTACACTTTAAAATATCATTTTATGTATATTTTACTGCAATAAAAAGGGGGGAAGGTCAGGTGAAGGGCATAATAAAACTATAAATCCATGACCTGCTTTTACCTCATTTGTCAGGTTTTATGTCCACCCCCCTCATTTTTCACCAGATAATTTTGAAGAAACTGATACTACTATTTAATCCATGAATATTTTGGAATGTAATTTTTCAGCATAACCCAAAGGCCATTATCCTACCTAAAAATTAGCAGTTTTCCCTTAATATGTTCAAATAAACATGTACAGGAATTTCACTAATCATCTCCATAAGGATTTAAGATCTATACATTGTCAATTTACTGAAGTTCTTTTATCGGATAAGGGTCTAGAATTCAGAATAAAAAAGCTTTCAATTTAAGCCAACCCTGTTCAAAAATGTTCAATCCAGTAGGTCATTTATGAAGTGCAAATCAAAACCATGAGCTATCACTTCATACCAACCATGATGGCTACTGTTTAGTAAGAAATGAAAAATAGGTTTTGGCAAAGATGCAGAGAGACAGGAACCCTCACACACTGGTGGGAACATAAACGGTGCTGCCACTGTTGAAAACACAGTGGTTTCTCAGAGTTAATCACAAGAGTTACCATATAACCCAAAACTTCACTCCCGGGTGTGTACCTTTGTGAAAATAAAAGGAAACCTCCTTTAGCGTAAAGTTGGGAAGGCAGCGGGGGCGGGGAGGGGGGCGGCGAGGGGGGCGGCTCTCACACCCTATCACTTCCCAACGCTACACCAAACTGGGGGAGAGGGACCTTAAGTGCAGACACTCTACCCCCAGCTGGAGGGAGGAGGTTTTCTTCCTCCCTAGCAACAGCCCAGCCAATGGGAGGCCATCACAGCTCAGCCAATGAAAAGCCACTACAGCGGAACTCCCTTCACTCTCACCAAATTTCCTGCACCTGCCTACAGTGCTTGTCCCTAATTGCAATTCTGTGCTATTTCCAAATAAACCCACTGTTTTGCTGGTAAAGTAGCTAGCACTTTTATATTTTAAGTTTCTATTTTTTGGTGATCAGAATTGGGACCAGTAGACCCGAGAGACTCCGAGCCTGGTGAGCAAACAGGTACCAGAACTCACAGAGCCTACTAGGCTCACTGCTTTCTCTCCCAGCCTGGAGACTGACAGTAAGTTTTCTTCTGGATTTTGAGCTCTGCTCTCCTTGTGTTTCACCTCTCGGGCTTTCTTCAGAACCTTCAGGTTTTACGGCCTTGTCCTTTCTCGGAGTACCTGCAGCCTATGGAGGTTC